GTGGTAGTACAGTGGAAATCCATGTTCCGCACACAGCAGGGCATCTCGCTATGGGTCCCACTGTCTGCCAGCTCTTCCAGTGCCATTCAGATCCATGTATAACATAGGATGGAGAGGCCGCGTGGGTCAGTGAGGGGTCACTACACAGACTGATTTTGGAGAGCATGATGGAGAGGATGAACGAAAGCAGAGGTGCTTCCTACAGATCTGCTGCTATTAGAGCTGTTACATCTGTGTGTGTCGTTTCTGACTATGTATAAATGAATGATTTAGACTGCTGCTGGCACATGCTTAAAGCAAAAGATCAAGGAGAAAATATGTTTCTATTATGTTCAACATCAACAAATGGATATGACCCCAGCTGAAGAGTATGTGAGTGTACAAGTTGTGATTTTGGAAATGTTTGGTTGATAGGTGAACATCTGACCCATTTTCCTCAATCAGCCAAGAATGCTGTGTCATTAATTCAGATAAGGAAGTACTAATCATAACAGGACTCAGTAGTGTAGTTTTGTAGAGACCCCTGGATGACTTTATAATTCAACAGTTTTCACACACACACACACACACACACACACACACACACACACACACACACACACACACACACACACACACACACACACACACACACACACACACCATAATGTTTCTTTATGAGCAGGGTCATTCTTATGCAGTATCTTTAAAAAAAAAATGAATATGCATGTGATGTCTGAAATTACGTATTTATCTCTCTCGGTCCATCCGTCCATCTTTTATTTGTAGTTTTTTTATTCCTTTTATTTTTTTCTTTATTTTTGTAATGCCATTTTTGTCATTTTCTGCAAGGACCACAGTCTGGACTTTACTTCAGACATGAACTCAGGTCACCCGAAGTGTAGCTTTTATATTTAATTTGAATAATTATCTTGAATATTTACTTAAACATTTACACAACAACAAAACAAAAACATGAAAAGAATTAACATGAAAAGAACTAAAGTTAGTCATTGCTCGGTGATGCAATTTTTGTGTAATATACATTACACAATATAACAAAAATTTGTTTCAGTTGGATTTTTTATGGTTCTTTTGTAATTCTGTCATCCAACGTACAATTCTGAAGTTTTGGACGACTCATTTTTGGTAACTGTTTAGAAACAGTCTTTCCTGCTTCTGAAGCTTTATAAATGATATTACTGTAAATCCAGTTGTGGTAACTCTACATGACCAAATAGAAATTATTTTGCTCAAATTTGGATGAAATGGATTAAAGGTTTAACAGTGCTTGGAGATGCTGGGGATTGAACCCAACACCTCTTACATGCAAAGCATGTGCTCTACCAATGAGCTACATCTCCAATTGAAGGTTTCCTTTTCCTCTTGTAGTTACAAGTGCTTTTTACTCAAGATAAATAATAGATTTCTTCCAACATGTTTATGCATGCACACGAGGTTCAAAGGTCTAAAAAAAGTGTACAGTTTTTACTTAAAGAGATGGTGTGGATTGAACTCAGGACCTCATGCATAAAAATCACACACTCTACCACTGAGCTACATCCCAATTATAAACTTTTTTGCTTTTGAAGGTTTACAAATGCTATTAAAAACAGTCGTGTGAACTCCCCATGACAGCATTGAAATTCTGTTCCCATAATTTGCATGAAACAAATTAAAGCATGCACCCCACCACTGAGCTACATCCCCAGAGCAACATTTCCTCTTGTGTAGTTACAAGTGTTTTTACTCAAGATAACTCTTGTGAAGTTCAAAGTAGATTTTTGCCAACATGTTAATGCATGCAAATGAGGTTCAAATGTCTAAAAAGCAGGTAACGTTTTTACAGTTATATGTTAAACTGTTGTTGTTAGCTCAGTATTATGCATGTACCATGTAATTTTTATGCATGAGTAATAATAGATTAGATTGTTGATAAGTTGTCAACATATATATATATATATATATATATATATATATATATATACTGTATTTATATATATCCCAACTGTTAGTGATACATAAAAAGTAATGCGATTTTCGGAAACCTTGATAAAGAAACATTGAAAAATAAAACAATAAAACAAACAAAACTTTTGTAAAAACTGTGTTTCACTGTTATTTGAAATATTTTAGAAACCTGTTGTATTGCTATACTTTTATAAAATAGTATAGTATATTTTAGACAAACTAATACCAATAATTAACGATTATGTTCACTATATAATGATAAACAAAAAACTAATAAGAATTTATTTTTGTTAAGGTTGTGAATTTATCTTGAAATAGGCTACTGCACAGTAAGGACATGGACAAAGGACATGAGTATGTTATAAAATACATAAATTAATATATTAATATAAAGATACAAATTAATCAAAGAAGAAAGATGACCAAAAAGTAGTCATCCCATGCAGACATAAAATGATACAATGAAAAATGTAAGAATTGTACATGAGAGCGTGCTTAGTAGCGGCAGTCACTGGAGACTCTATGGCAGGAAGCAGTGCTGCGGGAGCTGATATGTGACCAGGAAACTGGCAGGAATCAAACAGCAAGCACGCAGAAACAGGAAGAACCGCTGGTCTCCTGTCTGCTGAGTGTTTGCTCAGTCCACCACCCGGTTCCCATGAGACCCACTAGAAAACAGCTAGAGTAATGACCACTTGCCTCTGAACCAGCATGCACTGGGTCTGAACCAGAACTCACAAATTTATTTTTGAGTTCCTGCTGGTACAGTGGTGAGCATGCAGGCCTAAACACTTCTGCACAATGGTTCTTAATGACATCCCAAAGGCTGCTAAAATTACAGAATCAATCATGACAGTCCTAATGGGGATTTTAATGAATGAACTGTATTGATGGCTGCTGCCATCAGTTTTATGTTTGAATGTAAGTTTGACACCGGTATTTCAAAACTGCACAAAGTAATAATCACACCAGTGGTATGCATACCTAAGAACGTCCCCTGTTGTCCAGCATGTAGTTTCATTACCAGAAATGGTTATTGCAAGGAACTTTCACTGACAATAGAAGCGTTGTTGGATTACTTACATGTGTATTTAAGTTGGAAGTCTAAGAGCAACAGTTCCCTCTCATATCTTATTATTTGCTGAACCCCCTATAATGTTTTCAAATTGATAAGGTCTTTCATACACAGAGATTCATGGCCACTGTATTTTACAATAAATCATTCATTTTGTAAATGTTGTTGGGCAAGATTCTCAAAAAATCTAGTTAGCTAAGTAAGTAAGCTACAAACTACTCTCCTACTATAAACTTTTTTTTCATGTGTCATATGTTAATAATAAGCTGTTATTTGTTCAGTGTGTACCAAGGAACGATTGTCTGTGTAGTTTAGAGCAACTGACTAAATTATTCAGTTGAGTCAATGAGTCATTTACGCTGGAACCGCCGGGATCGATTCAAGCGCAAACTGATAATAGCTTGTGACTTTAAATTAGTCTGACTGGTTAGATTGATTCATTGGAAAGAATTGTTCAAAAGAGACATTCATTTCCAAATCAGATATAATTTTGTCTTGTTGAGTCAAAAAAAAATTACTGTTGTAGTGGTTCACAACTGTACTCTGCAACAATAACAAAAATATCTTTGCTACTGAAAAGCTATATTATTTAAAACAATTATTTAAAAAGAAAATAGCGACGACTCATTACTGAAACATAGATAACTTAGCGTTGCTAAATGGTAGTGTCGATATTGCCCAGCCCATCACTGTTTGAAAGTAAACATTACACTTTTTGCCTTAAGATGAGGCCACACTTGCGGCATTTCTGTGAAATTACGTGGGCAAAAAAGGTACATTGAAGTGGACGTGTGTGTGTGCTCAAACACTGAGTGAGGCCAAGCAAAACACTCTGGTGATAAAATCACAATTAACGTACCACTAGGACAAAATACTTCTTGCAGGGAACTTGACTTTCAGCTCCCATTACCAAAGGAAATGAGTGTTGTAGATGCCAAAAGGGAGTGTAAGACCACCGAAGTGATCAGATGCATGGGCTTTCCCAGCTAAACAATCCGTCTGGGATGTGAGGTGCCTGGGTCATATATCAAAAACATTGGGGCAGATTTGGGGCAAATTATAGAGGTTAATAAATGTGGAAAGAGAAGAAAAACAAATGCACTTAACGTCTGGCAGTTGCTTTTATCCAAAGTGACTTACACTGCATTCAGGGTATACATTTAATCAGTTCATGTATTCCCTAGGAATTGACCCTATGACCTTGGTGTTGCAAGCATTATGCTCTACTGTTTGAGATACAGGAATGTATAATAAATGCAGTAGTTATAGACAAATGTATTCGGTGTGTTTGTGGTGAGAGAGAAAGCCTGTTAGTGAAGGTGTTACATGCCAGATGCTGACAGATGCTCTCATGCAAACAACAATAACAGCATTTAAGTGCCAAACAAGGACACCTTGACCATTTATGTCTCCTATAAGACAAACTGTCCATTGTTGTGGAGCTCAGGTTGTTTTTTCCTGTTAAAGAGAGTGAAGCCATCACAGCTGTACTCATACTGTGTTATGATTCTCTATCCGTCCTTTCCTCCTTTTCCTTTTTTTGCACACATACCAAGTCAGAGCTAATAAATATAATAATATATATATAATAATATAATTTGTATAAATGCTTTTTGTTAGTGTTTGTTGAAATATTTTAATTTCTTATCATTTGATTGTTTCATATTATTTCAGCAATAAAAGTTGAATTGCCTGAATAGCCTATTTCAAAATGTCTAAATATAGTAAAAGAAAATATAGTTTTAAAAATGTAAAAAAATTATATATGTGTTAAAATGAATAGATTAGCATGTGTGTTAAGATAGTTTGAGTCATCAGTTCAAATGTCAACTGCAAGGTGAGAGAGAAGTATAGCTCCATTTGACATTCAGTTACAAATTAACTTTATCTGAGAATGACAAGCTAAAGTCACACCTCCAGCAACCTTTGCACAACCTACCTGACATTTCCTTAATCTTGGAAATGGCTAACAAAAATGAACCTCTCCATGTTAAAATGTGACGTCTGAGGAGAAAAACCATCAGTTTCGACATATTCTGAATAAACAGAAGATCCGAATCTCAGGTAAGTTGCCTCATAACATTTATTTCACTGTATTCTGATGCAAACATTAATTTATATATATGTATATGTTTGTGAAATAGCTTTTTAACATGACTAAAGCAATACAAAGCCCAACATGTGATCTCTTTGGCACATATGAGCAGGAGAACAATATCTTAATACATCATTCTAGGTCGCTAGCTTAATGTTTAATGATCTCACATTTCCACCTGTCAACCCTCATGTCATTTTACATTCTGTTGTCAACCATAACAAGCCAACTGCTAGGGAAGGTAAATTAGACTATTATGGGAATCAATATAGTTAACCACACATAGGCTACTTGCTAAACTGACGGATAAGACTTAACAATATTGTCTAACGTATCACAGGAACATTTGAAAAGGTAGGCCTAACCCAACTCCTACTATATTCTTATTTTGTGCACTGCACTAATGCTAATAAAAAACTAAATGTTAAGGATAAACATAAACATAGAAGCTTCTTTCTAACTTTTCAGGAACTTCATGCAGGTAAATTGATAAATCAAAAGCTGTGTTGAATAGTATAGTTTTCAGTTTCTTTTACATGCGAAAACAACAATGCAAAGTCCTTAGTGCCAAAGTAATCAGTAACATACAACCTAGGAATAAACGGGGGAGGGTGTGTATATAGTGTATACTTGATCTTGAGGAGGTCAAGTGAAAGACTCCTTTCTGTGCCGTATTTCCGCAGTGTGTTCGGACACACACAGTGAGGTCTGGGAAAGCATCTGGGGGCTGTTAGTTTGCAAGTAGCGTAAGGAGATAAAGGTGAAGTCAGGATCCTATCAAGTTCCTCTACCGCACCTTTTCTGAAGCTGTCTTTCTCACATTTATAATCATACGCACATGCAGACACTTGGCTGACTCTCAGATCCTGCAGGTATGTTGTTACGGGGCCGTCCTGAGACAGGAAGAGATAAAAGCAGCTCCTGAGGAGTGTTTACAGCCTGAAATGAATAGTGGGAGAGGGAGGGAATGAGAGGAAGGGCCCCTATAAAAAAATACTGGACCCTCAAATGTGGCCCCTGTGGAAGCCACAAAGAGATAAGTAGGAAATACTAAAGATGGAACATACAAACACTCTCTGTTTCATACATATGCACACATGTATTATTCCAACACATTCACATGCCAATCCGTAACTATTTTACAATATCATTTGCATGTTTTTGTGCAATCTGACAGTTTTAGGGGTGGACCTTCATGCTAGCTAAAAAAAACGTTTCCTTACAAATCACAAATTGCCACCTCTTCAAATAGGCCTAGTTATTCTTTTTCATGAGATCAGGTTGTTTATTCCTATTCACTACAACACTTTTTTAAATTCTACTTTACAAACTTAAGATGGCAGTTAATATTTCATTTTTAGTAAAATTATTTTAAAGGGGTCAAGGGGTGATGCGATTTCAATTTTTCCTTTCTCTTTGGAGTGTTACAAGCTCTTGGTGCAAAGACTAAAGTCTCAAATCCAAAGAGATATTCTTTATAAAAGTTAAGAGTCAACCACGCCTACCTAAAACGGCTCGTTTTAACACGCCCCCACATATCTACATCACTATGTGGGAAGATTTGCATAACGCCGCCCAAATGTTCACGCAAAGAAAGAAGAAATAATGTTCTTTTTAGCAACATCATATGACCCCTTTAAGATAAGATTTAGTATTATTGGATGAATTATTAAATTTTGATCTAATATATTTGTAATCATTAACAATCCAGAAGTTAATTTTTTAGGTTATTTCCTCGGTCATTTGAACAGTTTTTGAAATGCATTGTAGCAGCACACATCGACTTTATTGTTTTGTACTGCACTTTTTTAACTTTATTACCCTTATTGCGCCTTGTTATGTGACTCTCTGGAATCTTGGATTCTTATTGGTCAATTTTAGCATTCTGTGGTTAAATATGTTTGCAGAATAATGACTAAACTGTATAACTGGCCATTGTCTCATGCAGGGAATTTCCTAAATAGCTGACGCTAGTTGTCATATTTCTGATGGTTCATGCCTAGTATCACTTTTTTTCCCACACATCCCATCACATCGGTGTTTCATGTCCATTTATTTATTTATTTGCTAAAAAGTGAAATTATGTTTAAAATAAACCCCTTTAGTGTGATCAAAATCCTCTCTGCTTTGTGTCGGGGTCCTGATTGCCCTTTCAGGGATTATTTGGCCTCACAGACTGTAAATTATTCTTTACATAAGTAGTGCTACACTTTATTTATTGTTTACTTTGTGTTTTATATGCACGAGGTTGTTGTTTGCTGTAGGGTTATGCTGAGTCTTGTGGTGGATCGCTGAATGTGTCAGCATGTTAGAGTTCCTGTTACTGTTTACAGGAACCTCTTGAATTTTTGATTTTTTCAAATCTTTTGCAATTGATAATATGACACATGGTCCTATAGGATATATGAAGTATTGAAAGAATAATAATGAAAAAAACACACTGTCATAGCCTACAGATATTTTAGATTTTAACAATGTTTAATGAATTATTTTTTATGTTAACTTTCACAGAGCTTCACTCAAGGGGTAAAATACAAACAAAACAAACAGTTTTTAATCAAGTCCAAAATATAAATTAATATGATTGAATCAACCTGACTATATTAGGTTTCACTAATAAATGTAAGTTTATACTTTTTTTTACAGTGTTGCATATACAGATTTGCAAGCTACAAAGTGTGTGGGACCTATTCTATCCTTCTTTCCATTGTACTAACAGTGTCAATATCCAACCTTGACTACCCAATAAAGCAAAGATATATGACGTTATATAGTTATGAAATGGCACCAGAACTCAAGCTATTGCAGTACTGAAGGCCACTTCAGTGTTTGCTATTTATCATCTTTAATTGTGATTTCTGCAGGAAGCAGGAAAACATGGGGTTTGCTACACACACAGTGTGTGTGCTCCTGTGTTTTTTGGTCTCAGGATCATGCTACACACTCCAGACCGTGGGCCAATGTACGGTCAACAGAGAGATGGTGAGGAAAAACAACACACTCTGGTCTCTTTTGTTCCCTGAGCCAGAGCAAGTGCTGCTACATCAGGAGTATCCTGTTTGTAGGCATTTGTTTCCTGTTTTTGGTGACAGAGGTTTACACAGTCTGTTAATGGTTTACATCCTGAGAAAATAAATTTCTTGTTTCATGTTTAAAACCGCAAGTGGGTAAGCCATTTTTTTTAATGTTTTTAAATCTTAAATGAACAGGGCAAAATTATAGTATATGTAAATGCATGTTTTTTTCTGATTCCATATGTAAGTTTCATAACCATATACAGTGGGTACGGAAAGTATTCAGACCCCCTTAAATTTTTCCCTCTTTGTTATATTGCAGCCCTGTTTATTCTTTCAGGCTTCATTTGACTGCAGTGGGAAAAGACTTACATCGGTACCAAAGCACATCTGGATGAACGTAACCGAACTGGACCTGTCTGAAAATCTGTTAGACTTCACCCACACTGACAGCTTCAAGCGCCTGAACCTCTTCAGCCATTTAGTCTCACTGAACCTATCAGGCAACTACCTCCCCCTACTGTTAAAAGACCATCTCTACAGCCTTTCTTCTCTTAAAGTACTTGACCTAAGTAGGTGTAAACTGGCCGCAGTGGAGGCAAACGCTCTGACCAGCCTTTCCAGTTTACAGATGCTCTTCCTGGGGGACATTCAGTCGATTGCAGTTAAAGACCTGAGATTGAGTCAGTTTGTGGAACTTAGAGGAGAACAGAGTAACAGACAGAAAGTGGGAGACAGAGTAATGATGACCAGAGCAGCAAAACGCATGGCACACGATGACCACAGTGATGGTATGAATACTTTTATCGAATCTGTATTAGATTTAGTTCATTACTTGTATTAGTGACGTATACTGTTGGGGTGAAAAAGAGAAATATTTTACAAATCTAGTTTCCATTCCTTAGAAATGTACTCTTTGGTTTCATGTTGGTTTCATATGGATTTGAAAAACTGTTAGATAATTTAAAGACAAGTTTTATTTCAATGATATTAAAAATGTCATGTGGTGTAGCCATCAAATAAAAAGTAATAAAATAATTTCCTTACACCTTAAATGCAAGTGTACACATCTTAATCATTGTTTTAAAAACATTTTTAAATACTGAATTATTGTTATTATTATGAACTTTTAATTCAGAAGTGACATGGTCACATATCATTTCCTGTTTTTTTTTCTTTACATAACTCAAAAAAAGCTTGTCATACTGTATATTATTAAGCAGCGTATCAGTTTTCATTTATTTATTTATGTTTTGAAGAAATAATAGCCTACAAACCACTTTTTCATTTTTCATAAAAACAAGCTTGACTTTCACTTTTCATAAAAAACAAGCTTGAAATGGTTGACTTTAAGCCCCCTCCAAAATAATAATAATTAAATTCATTTTAATACAGAAATAAAAAGCCTGTGTATAATAATTCAAGTCATTGTATGAGTAAATTGCATTTTTTATATGTATGTTGGACTAAAATTAGATGAGGACCAGGTCTTTCAGCCATTTCTTAGTGATATTAATTTTCTCTGCATTAATTATATTTATATGGAAAATAAGCTATTTGAGTGCCACAACATCATCTTTTTTGAGATATGGAAATTGACATATACTATAATTTCAATGTCATTTGTTTTTCTCATGGCAGGATATTCTAAGGATGTCAACCATGGAGCCTTCCTTCGTAAACTATTCACAGTGGAACCTACAAACAATACAATTAATGGTCAAAACCTTTTTTCCCCTGTAATCTAGTGTAGATTATTACCTGTGATTACATCTGAGACTGGCTAATCATTCTAAATAACCTTTTTAGGCATAGAACCAGATGATGATAACAAAACGTCTTCAGAAAGCTGGAAGGTCCTTGTGGCTGTTCTGGGGTCAGCTCTCACCCTCTCTGTCCTTATCGCTTTGATGGCCAAATACAAAGTCGTGCACGAGTATCTGGCGAGCTACAGACACTCCAGGCTCAGTGAAGTAGATGCCACGAGTCAGTGTGACCCTGCAAACTTTGAGGTGGGATTCTCGACCCAGGGTGGCCCTGGGACTCGTGCAGCTGCACCTACCAGTGGCATTGAGGAGGATGACGATGGGTTTATTGAAGATAACTATATTCAAGCGAGTGAGAGTGAAAGAGCCACAAGAGCAGCAGTGATGACTGATGATGATGACGAGGAGGAAGAGATTGAATTTAGTATTGGCTAGCACTATTAAGTCTAATGTTGTTAAATCTTATTTATAATAACTTGCATTAAGTAGTCATTAACAAACATTCAATACTCCATAATCAGCTATCAAACTATTCATTGATTAATTCATTGAAAAAAAAAAAAGAATATAATGTGGCCCTATTAAGGAATTTGAACACTTAAGCCAAAAACAAAACAAAACTGTAATATTGTGAATGAAAAATGTATATATTTTGGCATAGATGTCCAAATAGTTTCCACTTTTTTGAAAGCATCTGAAAATATATGAATCAAAGTTGAATGACATTTGAATGTACAGTAGGCCACACAAAATAATCTGTTTAGCATTTTATACGTTTGTTAACATTATTAATGAAAGTTATTTTAAACCTTTATTTTAAATGATAATATTAATAATCATTAACTTTTAAGGATTTTTCCTTCCAGAATGTGCATTTACATTGACCTTTAATTGCATTCTGTACCATATATATTTTGTCTTTTGTATGTTGCACTTCATTTCTATTTTTTTGTTTTTTTTGAGAAAACATTATTCTTTCATTGGCCACTGGGCGCCGCCTTTGTGTACTTTATTACTTAGCCTAGAATTAAATATTAAAATTGTATTATTGATATTATTATACATTTTTGTTATTGTTTATAAATGTTATATAACACAAATTAAACACTACATGGCATTCACGTCATCCTAAACGAATGCCGTGTTAGTAGTTTTTTTTTTGTAGGCTATCTACTATTTAATAAAGGATTGTCACCTGAAAGTAGTTGAAGTTAAGTCACACTGCTTTTACACTGCAACAGAGCGACGCGACGAAACAGCGCAGATCGCTTGGCCAATTATAATGGCAGCGTTGAAGTTTTGACGCGTCGCGTCTCGCAGTTTACAGCACAGCTACAAGCTCGAGCTGCACAACCGGTTAGACGCCTCCAAACCCGGAAGACGCGCGTGTAAGGGATGGGAAAGATCTCTCTTCATTTCACTTGATCAAACTTTACTAAAATTCACAAAACTTGGACTCCTGTCAGTCACTTCTGGTCACACAACAGCTTTGATAAGGATGGCAGCGTCCGCGATCTTCATCCTGGACCTTAAAGGCAAGGTAAGAGCGCGTGCACCTGTCAGAGAAAGGTCGTATAGTTTATACTCTCAGGATTGACAGTGACACTTTATTTGAAACCTATATAGCTACAGATAATCGAGGTTTAAAATAATTTGCCGAAGGATATTGTACGTATTTACTCACTTGAAGGTTTCTAAAACAACTAATGATGTAAATGTGACACAATACAGATACACCCTACCCATCACACTCTTAAAGTTAACACTTTCACTGAAGGCAATTGCAATATTAATGTTAATGTTTCACATATTGTATGTTTCTATATTTAAGTGGTGGTGCAATAACACAATATATATTTAAAGTTATTCTTTTAAGAAAAATGATATTTTGTGGACATGGTACATGTAAAAAAAAAAAGTTTTCATGTTTTTGAAAGAAGTCTCTTATGCTCACCAAGGCTACATTTAATTGATAAAAAATACAGTAAAATAGTGATATTGTGAAATATTATTACAATTTAAAATTGCTGTTCTATATTTTAATATATTTTAAAGTGTAATTTATTCCTGTGATGGCAAAGCTGAGTTTCTTCAGTGTCACATGATCCTTCAGAAATCATTCAGATTTCATTCATTATTAATTTCTTATTATTGTCAATGTTGAAACAATGGGCTGCTTAATTTTTTTTTTGTGGAAACTGATCTTTTTTTTCTTTGATGTATAGAAAGTTCAAAAGAGCATTCATTTGAAATAGAAATCATGTGTAACAATATAAATGTCTTTATAGCCAATTTAATGCATTCTTTCTGAATAAAAGTATACATTTCTTTCTTTTTCTTTTTTTAAACCTTACTTACCCCAAACACTTGAATGATAGTGTATCACAGTTTCCACAAAAATATTAAGCACCAAAAATAATAATGAATGAAATATAATAATAGCGCCAAATAATACCGGAATAAATTCTGAAGGATCATGTGACACTGAAGACCAGAGTAATGGCTGCTGAAAATTCAGCTCTGCCATCACAGGAATAATTTACATGTTAAAATATATTAAAATGAAAAACAGTCATTCTAAATTGTAGTACTATTTCACAATATTACTGTTATTTTATTTTTGATTAAATAAATGCAGCCTTGGTTAGACTTTCAAAAACAATAAAAAAAATTAATTATATATCAAAAGATATAGTGTATATATAAAGAAAAGCCCTGAACTAATTTGTAAGATGTTGAAAGTAGTAGTGGGTGCATGGGAGTGTTTCCATGAAAACAGAGCCTCAGGGTCTCAGTGGAATGGATTATCCTTCAATATACCCCTGGATTTTGGCAGTGCTGATGAAAGCGGTCTTGTCTGTGCCCTAGAGCAATCCAATATCTCCATCTGAAGGAATACCTCAACACCAGCCATGTTAAAGTCAGACTTCACTGATTTTTAAGTTTTACCCTACTATACACCTTGAATGAATCTGTCAGTGAAAAAAGTGACCAGGACTTGAAGCATTTGATTGTATGTTGGATTGATCAGTAGAAGTATTAGTGTAGATATTGTTTCATAGATCATATTGATTGAGCTGTTAACATATTCTCAGGCTTTTTGAGTCAATGCAAACAAACCTTGTGCTGTAAGTGTCCTTTTGGCCTGAGAAATCATTACAAGTGTTTACTGCTTTTGAGGCCGTAAGGAATCCATTTTGCATGATGGCTGGTGCCAAAACATCTTTAAGAAAAATAAAAGATTCTTTCTATTTGCTGAGAGAACCTCAAGGTTTTCCAGAGTTTTTAAATGAGCTTTTGTTTGTTGTATTAATATAGCCAAAAAGAACATGTCTTTATATGGATTGCACTAAGATAAACTAGTGATGCCGTGATGTCTTTAAGGAGCAGAATTGGGATACTCTGTTTTATGACATCCTTGTGCTTTCAACTTTGTTTCCATCTCTAAGGTGCTCATATGTCGAAACTACATGGGCAATGTGGACATGAGTGAGATCGACAACTTTATGCCCATAATGATGAAGAGAGAGGAAGATGCAGATTTGTCACCAGTGGTTATTCACGGCTCTACCCACTACCTCTGGATAAAGCATAGCAACCTCTACTGTATCCTCTATCTTCTTATATTTAAATGTAAAAGTATAACCTTTATTTGTCTATATTAAAATATCATTTTATTTGTGAATATTTGTCCTATTGTTGTACAGTAACAGCTCTGCAAATGTGTAGCATATTTACTACTTAACAGATTTTACTCAGTGGTTGCAATAACAAAGAGGAATACCAATGCTGCTCTTGTATACTCCTTCCTGTACAAATTAGTGGAGGTAAGTGTGTTTTATATCTATCAACATGACAACACCTTCCATAAAACCTTGCACAGCACAATCTTGTTGCCTGTGTAAACATCAACACCCTAAAAATGTGCCGTAGCATATTTCCTCATTATAATATTACGAAATTTGTGTACATTTAAAATAGTAGTCTTGTATTAACCATTTGCTTGCAGGTGTTCATTGAATATTTCAAGTCACTGGAAGAAGAGAGTATTCGAGACAATTTTGTGACCGTATATGAGCTAATGGATGAAGTCATGGACTTTGGATTCCCTCAGACCACTGACAGCAAGATCTTACTAGAGTAAGTTCTGACAGACTTACCATTCAGCCATCACTGCACAGAGAACACTATTCATCCCTCACTAACAGTGCTATTAGGGGTCACTATTCCCTATTCAAGCTCATTCCTATTTATAAGTCAGTGTATATGCTTTGTGCAGAGGGCACAGTTTGGCAAAATGCAGTTATTTGTGTTTTATAATACTCATAGAGATGACTGGACCAGAGAAATCAATATACTGTAGTATCTAAGCATAAAGAAATATTTTTTTAAGTCAAATTTGTGGACAATTCTTACAGATTCATTTGAAAATTCATACTGAAGAGGAATAACTGAAATATTTATTGCTGATATATCCCTTTCAGCAGATGACTTCACTTCCTGGTAATTTACCTATTTAGGAGATTAAACAATATTCAAAACCTAAAATGGTCATTTAGCTAATTAAACTCATTTAGCTAATTAAAAATTTTTACCCTTAAAGAAATGGAAAGTACTATTTACAAAACATAAACAAGTAGAACATTCTAACTAAATAATATAACAACAGCACAATAAACAATTTCTTGTCAGGCAAATATTAAAAAGAAAAAAAAATAGTACAATCATATGTAAGTCAGTTTAAAAAAATCTTTCATGTTTATACGTTCTTCTCAGTTTGCTGGCTTTGCTAGCAGCCACTTAGCAGATCGCTAATTATTGCTAGCTCTCACTGACAGCAACATAATACCCTGTCTGTCAGCTGGAGAAACTTGAGGTTAGAGCACACACACATACACATCTACACTTCTCAGACCTTGTTCTGAAAACAACATTCTTGCGGAATCAATTTGGAATGAATTAGGAAACTTATTTATTGAACATTAAGTGGTTTGTTTTGGTGCATTTACTCAGATGCTAATGTTCATCAGGGATGATTTAACACTAACTCTGTGTGTAATGTTAGTGTTCACATTCATTTCCATTTGAATTTGTGTTTTTCATGTGTAATAGATGAAAGACGTGTGGTAAGGTAAACATTACATTAGAACGTTGGCAATACAAAAAAAGAAAAACAAGGTTAGGTGTTTGTCAGCCTGTCTGTCCCAAGGGGCAGCCATGTTCTTCCCATGAGTTCTAATAAGCAGCAGAGGTCTGTTTACACACTCACTGAAGTTACTTGCTTCACTGACTAGTGACAAATAATGATGCTCATCATATTGATAATGGCTGACATGCACTGGTGGGCTCATATAATATTTAGTCTTTTTTATGCTAATTGTAATTTTCTTGGTCATTATTTATGTTAGCATGTCCTGATGGCCTTCTTTCACTTCCACACCAGGTACATCACCCAACAGGGGCATAAACTGGAGGTGGGAGCGCCACGGCCCCCGGCTACAGTAACCAATGCTGTGTCTTGGAGGTCAGAAGGCATCAAATATAGAAAAAATGAAGTCTTCATGGATGTCATTGAGTCTGTCAATCTATTGGTGAGCTGACTTAAATGTATTGTAGCGACAACATTCCTCAGTCAACCAATCAGATTTTTGGATATGGGTTTGGGCTGGGGCTTCAACATCATTCTTTTGAACCTATGATTTCCTTATGACCTTTGGGGTTTTTAATAGTTTTTAGAGGTCTTAGGACCAACAAAATATGTTAATTCAGGAATACATTCTCATTGGTAAAATCACAGTCATCATAGATGTGCCTCATATTAATTTTAATTATTATATATGCATCTGTGCAATGAATTACTCTTGACCCATTATCAAATTTCAGTGCATGAAATGTATTTATACACTAACGTTCAAATGTTTGGGGTCAATATGCTTTTAAAAAAATTAATATTTTATTCAGCAAGGATGATGCATTAAATTGACAGTAAATTGATCAAAATTGACAGTATATTGTTTCAAATGATTTCTATCAAAGATTTTTAGATTAACAATAAATAAATTCAGTTCTTTTGAACATTCTACTCATTAAAGAGTCCTGAAAAAATTGTCACAGTTTCCACAAAAATATTAAGCAGCACATTTTGTTTTTTAAGATTAATAATAATAAAAAATGTTTATTGAGTACCAAATCAGCATAATAGAATGACTTCTGAAGGATCATGTGACACTGAAGACTGGAGTAATGGATACTGAAAATTTAGCTAGGCCATCACAGGAATAAATTACATTTTAAAATATACTAAAATCGAAAGCAGTTTTAAATATTCCTGTTTTGTATAATACTATTTCACAATATTACTGTTTTTACTGTATTTTTGATCATGTAAATGCAAAGAAAAAATAACAGTTTTAAGTAAATAAATTGCAATAAATAAAAATGGCTTAACATGCATTACTTATTTGAAGAAGTAAAAGTAACCTATATTATAGCGCAATTTAAAACTGAGCACATTACTTTTTCTTGTTGTGGAAAAAAAAACTTTCCACATACTGGATCGGTTTTACGTATTCAGTGCAGACATCAAACAGCAAACGCTATCGCTCCATCATCCTACTGTACCTCAGCCGACCTCCTTCATGTTCTCCAGGGTCAAGGGTTAGGTCTCCAGACTTCCTTAGATTGAGAGAGGGAGGAAGCAGCTGCCGTCTTTAAGTTCTTGTTGCCTTTCTTTTCTGCTTCTTAACTCTGAGCCCCCCGAATGGACTGGCTTTTGATGGATTCATTAGAGCTCCTCAGGGTCGGGGGGTCTAAACACTGGCAGACAGTAGCGCTGAGCAACACCACTCTTCTGATTAAGAGCTAAATCACGTCTCATTGCTTTCTAATTCTGCATTGCTATTCATCCGTGCAGCTTTATCGCTCTGGCTTTTTCTGGCTCTTGTATCTGAGAGCCCTCAGAGGTATTGAATCGATGTGGACTTTTTGAGGTTTAGATCTACCTTCTGAGTCCAGCTTGTATGTTTTTAATATTTTACCATAATATAATATATTACATTCTCATATCCGTAGTTATCGCAGCATATTCAGCCCTCTCTTTCCAAGAGCATTATGGCACAAATCACACAGTTACTGCCTTGCCCGACAGATCGTAATAAATTGTAGATGGCAGTAATGGTGATGATGCAATATCGCACCTTGCCACTCTTGATTGTGCTTTGCATTTATCTTCTCTGTTTTTGTTCGTTATAGGTCAGTGCTACAGGCAGTGTCCTGCGTAGCGAGATTCTGGGCAGCATCAAAATCAATGTCGTTCTGTCAGGCATGCCTGAGTTAAGGCTTGGACTCAATGACAAAGGTCTCTTCGAGATCACAGTCCGTGAGTATACCTATCCATCTTTAAAACTGAAAGATATCATTTTTTGACTAAAAAATTTTCTCACAATTTCATATAAAGAGACAACTATGCAGTAAGTTAACCATTTGTTGGTTGATCTCCACTCTGTGGCAGTAGCAACAATATAGTGAGCTGTTTATCTGATCAGTGGCATATAAAAAAAAAAACTTTTTCAGTCTGTTTTTACTGGTTTTAAAGAATTACAAATACAGCCAGGGTACATTAGAATAAACAACAAATAATAATTGTAAAGACAGAAAGAAGATCAAAAGATAGAAATAAAGTTAAAAACATTAACATGTTTACCAATAGTAACAAATCTTACAGCTTTCATATTTTTCAAACATTTTCAAAATTGCTTTTAGGTATTGTTGAACTTCTGTCTTTAAAATTAAAAGCAATGGCTTAGTCCCTCATATGTACATTTTAAAGTAGCAGATTAATTAAATACTGTTTCTTATGATAAGACTTGTCATAGAGGGAAAAAACTGTTAAAAGCTGGGCATGATGTGATCCTTAATAAATTAACAGAAATCTGACCAATAACTCCAAAACACAAACATGTTTTTACATGTAAACCACAAAATGTATCAATATCACAATTAAATCTGTTTACAAGAAGATTGCAAGGTTAATATTTACCATTTTTCCAGTCATTATTTTTCCATTTCCTTTCAGTGAAACGGATGGCTTCCAAAATGCCTCGTTTCAACTTTAAAATGACCTTGTTGTTTTTTTGTTTTTTAAAGTAGTGCAGAAAGTGACTTAATTTCGAGGGCTGCTAGTCAAGCAGTCAGTCGATTGTCCTAACCTATTTTATAGTAAGCATCTCTCTCATTTGCACTTGTTAGGTGAATTCCATTAATCTGATTCTCTTGGTTAATCCTCACCCCAGGCCTAACCCAGCGGGTGTTAGTTTCACAGCAGGCCAGATCTCAGTTATGTATTCTGCATGTGCGGTATAAATGCAGCTTGCATTTTAGAACAGAAGTGCTCCGGATTTACTCTACAACAGAAAGGGAATCAATATTAAATTAATTGAGCGATGCTCTTCTGTTCAAATAAATACATATAAATTTGATCCTATGGTGCAGTAGCTGTTGACCTCACCAACATTTCATGGACATTACAAGCTACCCTTTCATTTTACTTCTACAGGAAACTGTTTTATCAGATAGGGTTTCGGGGAAGTGAAAAAGACCTGGTTGTTTCCTGCACCACTTCCCACTTTAAAGCTGAACTATGGTGCAAGCTATTGTAAACACAAGTGAAGGTAGAAGGTGCCATTCTGTTATTGCATCAGTTGCAGAAATATTTCTTCTCAGCTCAGCAATGGAATGAGAATTAAACAAGAGAAACACTGCCCTCCACAGGCTCAAGATTGGAACTGCAAGTTATTTTATTATTATTATTTATTATTTATTAAGATTCAGTTATCGGACATTAAGAGGACAACAGAAATAGACTTTTCTGTAATAATGTTAATGTTGATATGACACACATTTTAACATTATAAAGTGATCAGTTACATTTTATTTTCATTTATGTATTTATTTATTCATTTTAACCCTGTGATGCATGAAGATTTAAATCACAAATGGAAAATTTGTGGAGTATTTTAATGTTATTTTAGAATTATTTATATACTGTTATAATATTTATTACGTTTTGAATTAGCAGTGGTTTTGATATTTTCAGTTTCAGTCATTTTAGTTTAAGTTTTACCAATTTTGTTCTATATAAAATATTTTATTTAGCTTTTTTTTTTTTTTTTTCAGTTTTTT